AGAGAGAGAGAGAGAGAGAGAGAGAGAGAGAGAGAGAGAGAGAGAGCTGATCCGTCGTCAATCAAGTCCGTGCGTGCACATTGGTGGGGTGAAGAGGGCGGGGGGGGTGAGAGAGAGAGAGAGAGAGAGAGAGAGAGAGAGAGAGAGAGAGAGAGAGAAACCCCATTCTAACTAACTACACGCCCCCCCCCCCCGATGAAATGTAATATCGGCTCCGATCAGTTTCAAGTCTGATCCGTTGTCGGCGCGAATACCCTTACAAGGGTATCCGCCCTGATTTTTGCAAGGACAGAAAAGAATCTTGAGTTGAAAGTTGGGAGCATCGCGTAAGCCGTGGCTGAGTTCTTCCTATAAGTAGGACTCTAGGAGTGTGAGACCATTTGAAAGGAATAGGGAGTTTGTGGGCGCCCAGTTTTAAGGCGCGCGTGATGTTTTCTTGATTGACATTATAAAACCAGCATAATTGTCGGTCGACTTTTAATTTTTGATTTAATTATGAATAAAACGATATTTTTTTATCTTTGATTAAAACATCTGTCTGTGGTGCGCGCATGTGCACGGAGGTGGCTTGCCGTGGCCAGGGTCGGTTTTGACCGTCAGTGTCACGACATTCTTTTGGGGTGGCTATTTTAAAGTTTACTTGGAGGAACTTGGAATCACTTAATACGCAGGGCGGAAATACATTTTTATTGGCCGTATGGCGGCATGGCTTCGACATATTGAGCAGTGTGCGCGGCAGCCATCGGTGGAACTTGGCCCCTTGCATAATGGGTGCCACGGTTCGGCAGTCGCAGGTTCGGAGTGGATAGGCCAAGGCGTTGGCTTGGGGCGTTTCAGTGCGACATTGCAACAGGCGGAACCCATTTATATGGGCCTCCAGCCTTCTGCTAGTGCCAATACCAGCCTTGGGCATAGCACTATTGGTTACGGCATTGGACTTTCAAAGTGGAGGTACGGGGATCGAGGGCGGCCACCGGCAACTATGGAGCATTGGAGCGATTGAAGATGCCAAGGGGTTGAGGGCTCGGAGAGGCTATCCCCCTTGGTTTTGTTGTCAGCCCATCCGTGGATCTGGTCGGCAGAACTGAAAGGGGCACCACCCAACACGGAACAAAGCAGCGCATGACCTACGCACATCACGAGTGAACCCCGYAGACTGTTGGTTCCCAGCACCCATTGAGCCAGGGAGTCACTCCGACGAGCATCCGTCATCACCTACAGGCAACATAGACATCCGGAACCGAGCGGCCCCCCTAAGAGTGCAGTAGGCACTCCAAACTACGAACCACGGACTGTTTGGCACTAGTTAAGGGTGCTCAGCTGGGCACAAAACAGTACTTAGAGAAAAAAAAACGGAGGGAGGACAGACAACAGGAGAAAGATTGACAGACATAAAACTGATACCGTGTGTGTGTGTGTGTGTGTGTGTGTGTGTGTGACCTGCCCACTGTCCCTCCATGAGGGAGGCCAGATGGACTCGTGCCTAGGGGGACTAGGCCATTCCAGCCTGTACCCCATAAACACCGCACACACACACAGACAGACACATGCACCACACTATAAGAAACCACACACCTTTCTGTTCAGTATGTGTGAGGAAAAACAACCCCTTGGCATTTGTACTTCACTTTGCTCCTTTTTCTGCCGCTTCAAACCCTATTCAAGGCTCCTATTGTCGATCATCATTGTTTCCTCCTGTGCTCGTGGTTTCTACGAGACCTTCTAGACCGGTCAGCGGGAGCGCCCGCCAAACAGCGCTGCAGGGGAGACCCCATCCT